TTCTATATTAGAAGCAAAAATTTTTGTACAAAATTGTATTAATAAATGTGTATGGCTGTGAATTAGCTGACAGCTAACTGTGATTTAAGAGCATAGGTCCTGATATTATTTAGATCTAGGATAAAATGTTAACTCTTCCATTACCAGCTGAGACCATGGGCAAGATGATGTAATTTTTCTGAGGTTTTTATTTCCTCATTCATAAAAACAAAGACAATACTTCTCAAGGATCAACAAATTAAGAGACTATAATTTCTGACCTCAATTTAATAATCTGCTTGTATGGTGTAGTCTCTCTAAAAGTGCCTTCCATATAAAATCATGCCTATTGATGCTATCAAAAGGCTCCGACGATTGAGAGAAGGGTGTACCTTCAACTGAGATAATCAACTCAGAAGACTGGGGTGTTCAAGGAGCAGAAAGATGCAGACAGAGAAACTGACTAATTCCATTATACATTCTGAATTTAAGATGTCCAAAGAATGTCAGCACGAAAAATTCCTATATGCAGATGGATCTACAGATCTGGAGCTCAACAGACAGTCCACACTGGACAAGCAGATTGGGGACGTCATTGTCAGTCCTGAGTGCTCATGATAATCTACCAGGGAGTTTGTGAAAGTCTGGCGTTCTGATTCAGCTGCTCCGGGGGAGGGCCGGGGAATCAGGATCTTTCTGTTTGTTTTCTTTCAACATTTTATTCAAATGAATAAACCTTTCATTCAAACATTTCATTTTTTAAAATTCAACAAATAGTTCATTTAAATAGATCAATTATTTTATTAATTTATATTTTTTATTGAGGTAAAATTCACCTAACATGAAATTAACCATTTGAAAGTGTAAAAGTTCAGGGGCATCTAGTGTATCACAATGCTGTGCAACCATCACTGGATTCCAGCTCCAAAACACTTCATCCTCCTCAAAAGGAAGGCCCGTACCCACTAGGCAATCACACCCCTTCCTCCTCCCCCTGGCCCCTGGCAACCACTAATCTGCTTTCTGGCTCTATGCACTTGCTTATTCTGAATATTTCATATGAATGGAATCATATGATATGTACTCTTTAGTAACTGGCTTCTTTCACTAAGCATGTTTTTGAGGTCCATCCATGTTGCAGTATGTATCACTACTTCATTTGTTTTTATGGCTGAATAATATTCCATTGTATGAATATAAGACATTTTTTTGTTTATCCTTTCATGAACTGATGGACATTTTGGTTATTTCCACTTTTTGGTTATTTTGAACAGTGCTGCTACGAACGTGCACGTACAACTATTTGTTTAAGTGCTGTTTTTAATTCTTTTGGGTCTATACCTAGGAGTGGAATTGCTTGGGCATATGGTACTTCTACACTTAGCTTTTTGGGAAAAACTTTTCTTTTTAAAAGTTCTCCAGATGACTCCATGTGAAGCTGATGTTGAGAATCAATAATGTCTGAGGTGGATGAGTCCATGAGAACTGACGAAATGCACATCAGGAGAAGATGCAGAGCAGGAACATGCTAGGCCCAGAGGCAAAACCTTGGGAAAACGACATTTCAGAGGCTGTCAGAAAAAGAGCCCATGAAGGTGACAGATAACTGAGAGCTGTCACAGAAAGAGAAGAGAATCCCTCAAGGGGGAACCACCAATATCAAATGCAGAAGGGAGAAGAAAATCAGGACAGACCTGACAGGATCTGCTGCATTTATCAAGAGGGTGACTCGGGGTTGCTGGCCTCACTGAGGCATGATTCCATGAACTGGAGTGTACACAAGATGCCAAGAAGTAGGGGCAAATACTACAACACACTCTGTTATTCATTATTTGCACCTATAAGGAAAAGTCCATGTCCTATCCCTTTATTCTCCTGTGACACTTAGGAACTTACAATGTAAATAACAAGCCCACAATAAAAATCTCCTTGGGCTGGACAGTTCACACTTCAACAAATAATGTGGCAACCTCCCTGCCAGATACAGCAGTCAACTGCAGCAGAGTACTGTCTGAAACTGTTCTGCTGACTAGGCCATGACTGTCCTAGGACGTCCACTATGTGAAAAATATAAGTACACCAATGTATAATTAGCAAAATTGTTTGATTCTAATGTCAGCAAAATATTGAATAAATTCTAGCATTTTTCCTCTTCCTACTGCCTAAAATATTATTTTAGCTTAAAGGTATTTATCCATTTTTACACAATATTTACCAATCTCTGAATTAACATTGAAAAGAGGATGCTAATGACTTCATAAAAAAAGTTATTTTCTGAAAAAAAAATTTTTCTTCTATTATTAGAGAAAAGAGTAACTCTTGGAACCACTGCAGTTTAAAGATGAAAAGTGAGAAGTAAGGTCAACCTTACGTTTGAAGCCACATATGAAATTTAGCTTAAGTTTAAATTCTCAATAAATAGTAAGTACATTTAAGTGCACGAATGCTTTTTTTAAAAAAAAAATTACATGCTGACTTTTTTTAATCTTAAGTGTGAGACCAGCCAAGAAATTTCTCCTAGAAAGGGAAAATATTGGACTATCCTAGATTCCTTTTCTCAATTAATGCTTCTATTCTGTAGACAGTAACCGTATTTAATTTGAGATTTCCTCTTTCTGTGCCAACTCCAGTTTGAACTCCTTCCTGCGAGGTCTTTCAGCACACAGCCTGTGTGACATGTGAGGCACTGTGAAGGCAGCCAGAGCAAGAAGGGGAAAGATGTTTTTCTTTAGTATCAAGCACCTGGCAAGAAAAGAGCATGTTCCTGTAAAGCCTTGAAGGCATTCCTGGCTTTCCCCCAAGAATCCAAACGGACTCATTTTGATTTCCCTTTTAAAAACCATATGAGGTTATAGTGAGTGTGCTTTGATTTATAGTTTACAGACTTTCCACATTGTTTCTTGGTGTTTCTGGTGCTGTTGTTTGTTTCTGTCCACCAACAAGTCAGAGTGGTGCCTACTCAATGAATGTGGCAGTTGGCCTGGGTGACCTGTGGCTCTGAGGATTAGTAACAACCTCCAGCGCTGAAGGAGTCACAGGGATCAGGTACCCACCTACTCGACAACTCTACAACGTAGACACAAAGGGAAAATGATGCAAAATATTTCCCCAATACTCTTTCTACCCTTCCCGCCATTTGCATGTCCCTACTCTAAACCACTCAAATGAAATCCAGGAAAGAAAGCACAGATCAGCTGCTTTAAAAAGACAGCTCACTAGATATGACACCAAAAAGCACAAAGACAAAAGAAAAAATAGGTAAGTTGTACTCCACAAAAATTAAAGCCTTTTGTACTGCGAACAATACCACCGTGAAAGTGAAAAGACAACCTACAGTATGGGGAAAGTATTTGCAAATCCTCTATCTGATGAGATACTTGTATTCAGAGTATATAAAGAGCTCTTATAACTCAATAATAAAAAGACAATCCGATTTAAAAATGGGCAAAGGATCTGAACAGACATTTCTCCAAAGAAGATAGACAAATGGCCAATAAGCACATGAAAAGATGCTCAACAGCATTAACCATTGGGGAAATTCAAATCACAACTACAATGAGATATAACTTCACAGCCACTAGGCTAATTAATCAAAAAGATAAATAATAATCAGTGTTAGCACAGATGTAGAGGAACTGAAACGCCTGTACATTACTGGTGGGAGATGCAGCCATTATGGAAAACAGCCAGTTCCTCAAAGGTTAAACATAAAGTTACCACATGACCCAGCAATTCCACCCCTAGGTATATACCCAACAAGAATGGAAACATGTGCACACAAAAATATGTACCGAATCTTCATTATACTTAATAGTCAAAGAGTGTAAACAATCCAAATGTTCATCAACTGATAAATGGATAAGCACATGTGGTGTATCCGAACAACAGAAGATCATTCAGGCATTGAAAAGACTGAACACGGCACATGCTACAACATGGATGAACGAAAGCGTCAGTCAGAAAAAGACCACATCTTGCAGGATTCCACTCATGTAAATTATCCCAAAGAGGCAAATCTACAGAGACAAGAAAGTAGATAGGTGAGCGTTTAGGGGCAGGGGAAAGAAGAGGGGAAGAGGATGGACACTGACTAATAACAGATACAGGGGCTTCTTTTTGGGGTGATGAAAATATTCTAAAATTGGTTGTGGTGACTGTCACACAACTCTGTGAATATACTAAACACTATTGAAGGGTACGCATGATATGTGAATTACATCACAATCCCATCATAATTTCCAGGTGCTGGGGTCACTCCCCACTGTGCCAGGTCCCTCACAGCTGCACCAGGTTTCCTGACATAAAGGTAAAACAGAGTTCTCATTCATCGTTTCAAAGATATTTGAATTTGTTCCTCAACCCCATGGTCCTTTGACATCCTACAACCACAGGCACAAAACCAACACGCCTTCCCACAGTGGAGGCTCTGCAGCCAGCCCTTCCAGCTCTCCTTGGCCTTTGGTGGCCACTCACCTTTCCAGTAGTTATTTTCTTTATAATTCTGTCTGACTTCCAAATCTCTAACAGTAGTCAATGGAATGTAACAAGGCCCACCCTAAAAATCCTTCCCAGACTCCATGAAAAGTCAACAAAAACTTCTGGTTAGATCTGAACACAAAAATTGGTATCACATGAATCCGACCAAAGCTCCTTGTTGACTGAAAAGAAATGTCCATTAGGAAAGAGGCACAAGTCTTATAAGTTGAGCTCACAATTCAGAACCGAAGAAGTGAGTAGCAGGACACTGGTAACATCGGCTGGAGGCAGATTTTTCCAATGTACCCCCCATTTTGACTATGGCTGGAAGCCCTGGTTCTTATTCCTTGAATCGTCTCATAAGACAACAAAACAAAAAAGGAAAAGCCACTAATCTTCTGCAAAATGTTAGCCAACAGTTAAAGATAAATTTGTATTTTTGTTTTTCCTTTTTCAGATAACTTTATGCCTAGAATTCCCATGCATTGATTTCTTTTATGAAAACTCAAAATACAGAGTATGAACTGCGCACAACCTGCTCACGCCTACCTGCAACATATGACCGCTTTACACGAGAGGGCCAGATCTAGAAAGCTTCTCCGGACTTCGAAGGAGAGCGCGTACTTCAGGGTGTGGCCGTCAATGATGAGCGCCACGTCATTTTCTTTGCCCAACAAATTTCCAAGGTCTGTGCAGTGCTGAGTAATGGCTGCCCTTGTTGCCTGAAACAAGAGTAAAGAGGAAATCGCATTTTTTGTGTGTTTAATGTTATCAAAAACAAAACTGAATTCAGAAGTAACTTGCTTGAAATGAAAACAATCCATTCTAATGTAAAATATACAAACACAATTCAACTGGGTACTTTTAAACCTTGACATTTCGTTGGAATACCCTTCTAGGTCTATATTATGGATGAAAATATCCTCGTAATGAAGTTCACTTGATATTTACAATAATCCATTCGGGCTGGGGTCTGCAGCTGATCCAGAGCATCCAAACTCTGTTACACTGGAACTTTAATTGCTAAGGTTCTCATGACTGTCTTTCGCTCCCCTTCTCTATAGTACATACACATTATTCTTGGTGCTGCTAGAATAGAAAATCCATACAAACAAATGTGCTTTTTGGGAAAGGATAACATTACGGGAACTTGAGTGGCAAACATTAACATTTCTCAGTTTGCACAGATAATCTTTTAAAGCATCCAAAAGGTATTAAGGGATATAAGGTAACAAAAGATTAATTTCTATTCCTGCTGAGATCTTCAAATTAAATCATCCTCTGCATGTGTTATAAAGATAAGAAATGAGCAGCTCATTTTCACATGTTACAGAAAATATCCAATCAAATTTAACTACCAAAACCTACCCAAACCTACCAGCCTAAATAAGCACCTTGTGTCATACCTATTGCAAGATGGAATTAAAGCACAGAACCATTCTTAAGATTTAAAAAAAAAAAAAAAGTTCTGATCTTCCCAGTGAATATATGGCCATGAATACGATATCTGGCTGAAATAGAAGAATGCAATTTTTGGCTCATAGCAAAATCTGGTTTAAGTTACTCAGGAAGCACAAAAGTGCTGAAGTTATTCTGTCTGGACAATGGTCCTTTGGTTATTAAGTTAAATTTACATGCAATTTATCATATGATAACATAAATTAGAGTCTCAAAGAAATAGGTTTAATGAACAGGAATCTTTCTACCCCTAGTTAAATTGAGGATCAGCTATGATTACAAAGTGAGAAACAGGTTTCACTGTCTTACTGTTTAGTTTTCGTTTTCAACAAGAGACTTTTGACAATATAAGGTAGCTGTATTTAAGAAAGATGTGGTCTAGAGCCCTGTGCTGTGGTCACATGGCCTGGAGTCCCAACTCTCCACTACTACCTCTGGGACCCTGGGCAAGATACTTAACCTCTTTAAATTGCTATTTTCTCATGTGTAAAATGGAGCTAAGAACACTTCACAGCACTTTCGTTATGAACAAATGAGCCAATCGATGTAAACTGCTTAGCTCTGGGCTTGGCACACAGCAAACACTCACTAAAACCCATTCTTCTTCCTCTATTCATTCATTAAAAATTTCCTATACCAAGAAAAATAAACATTTGGTAATACCTCTTTGTTGATGTAATAATAGACAAATAATTAACAAGACAATGTTTATGAATAAAAGTTATACTGACTTATTGAAAATAAAGAAAATTTCATACTTTTTATTGTTAATAAAGTATGTAATTCTGAACCTCCAACAAGCCTCCAGAAAATATCTATGTTTATCTTATCTATGAAAACAGCCTGTTCTTTAGAATTTGGGTAGAGAGGAGACAATTCCTCCCACTTTGGAAAATCCCAGCTTGGCAGCCTGGATGTGCTCTCCGGGGGGTCAGATAGTTCTGGCAGTTCTGGAGGATGTGCCCACCCGGGGTCGATCACAGAGGACAGAAAAACCTGAGAGATCCCTCACCAAGGGGATGAGGCAAGATCTGCAGATTTGGTCCAGGGACAGCACCTTACGAGGTAGGAGAAGCCCAGCCCATCCTGGGGTCTTTGACCCCTGCTGGCCTCCCCCATGGACTTGCGCCTGGATCCATGGAGGAAAAGATTGAGCAATAAAAATCCCTGAAATGTGGAGACCACTGCCGGTGGTTTTTCAAAAATATCATTTTAAAGAGGGCATAGCTTAAGTGGAGACATATGGAGATAGCCATATTAGGAAGGGTGCTTTCTCCACTCAGGTTATTTCTGGAGCAAGCATAAAGATGGACTGGACACCAATGGCTCTTCTTCCTCAGTTGGGGGAGGAGCAGAGAGGCCCTCAGGTGTTGGCCGCTGACACCCCATCAGGGTGCGAGGCTCTGGGGCATGAACAGGGAGGCTGTCGCCAGAACAAGCCTGAGCTGAGACAAAAGGCAAGTGCTCACACCCACTGGCAACGCAGCACTGTCCTTGTCATCACAGACACTTAGATGAAAGGAAGTGGTCTGGGACCATGGCAACACAAGGACACATGCTGAGTATGACAGTAACACCTGCTGTCACGTTCACTGTCTAGAACAAGCCTTCTAACACAACATGGCAACTGGAGTGACAGAGACGTGTGTATGCGCAGAACAGCATGGAACATGAGAGAGGAGGCTACTGACTAGTCCATCTTGTGCTGCTGTAACAGAAACCTGAGACTGGGTAATTTACAAAGAAGAGAAATTTATTGGCTCATGGTTCTATAGGTTGGGAAGTCCAAGACTGAAGGGCAGGCATCTGGCGAGGGCCTTCTTGCTGCATTATTACAAGGCAGAAAGGCTAAGAGAGGGCAAGACAGAGCAAGACATCGAAGCCTCAAGCTTTTTTATAATCATCATTAATCCACCAATGAGACTGGAGCACTCATGACCTAAACACCTCCTATCAGACCCCACCTCCCAACACTGTTGCACTGGGGATTAAGTTTCCAACGCTTGCTTTTTGAGGGACACATTTAAACCATAGCAGCCACTAATGCACAGTTGGGGTGGGGGGGTCTGGACAAGACCTCTTGGAGCTATGGATGTGCATGGGAGTGAATGATGACCCGGAGCTGTGCTGAACTGCAAACTGTACGTACACAGTGGCCACCCTCCTCACCAGCAAAGACAGCACCAAACATTACTAAGTTATGCCTCAGCAATAAAAGAAATCTCACATTTATATTCTACCAACCAGGAATTTTCTCATATACTGGTAAAGAGTATACTATATAGTACATTACTAAATGTTTTCTCAAGCAAAAATAGGTTCAATTAGGCAGTTACATGAGTCAAACCTTTTCCAATCAACCAACCAAGATGTAGTCATTAGAGTACATGGTGATAAAAACAAAAAATAACAACAATATATGTTTTCATGTTGTCTACCTCCTATAAATCTTACAATACAATCAAGATGAAAAATACTCAAAATTAAGGAAAAATAAAAGAAAACCTAGGGCCAGCCCGGTGGTGCACTTGGTAGAGTGCAGCGCTTGGGAGCACAGCGGCGCTCCCGCTGAGGGTTCGGATCCCATATAGAGACCGGTCCACTCACTGGTTGAGCGTGGTGCGGGCGCGACACCGAGGGTTGTGATCCCATTACCAGTCATGAAAAAAAAAAGACAAAAAAAAGGAAGAAAAAAAAAAAAAGAAAACCTAATATTTCTACTTATAGGTAGATTCTAAATATCACCACCAGTACTCCCTAGTGTACTCTGGCTCATTTTTGTGGTTGGCTGGAATTACACTAAATTGCACATTTGATGAAGGCAGAAACTCCACTTGCCAAGCTCTGATCATGCTAACCTATAGCAGGTGCTTAATAAATGTGCTTGAACTCATAAATGAATTGGAGTGTCTACATCTTGATTCTACATACTCCACCATAATATCTAGAAGAGACCATTTTCAGGTCTTGGGGACATCTATTTGTCTGACCTCTTTGTGAGCCATTCAGCCACTCTGGTACATTTTGCATTATATGTTTTCTTTAAAAACAATTGGTTCTGGGGCCGGCCCGGTGGCGCACTGCTACAGTGCGCTGCTTGGGAGCGCGGCGGTGCTCCCGCCGAGGGTTCGAATCCCACATACAGACCGGTTCCCACTCACTGGCTGAGTGAGGGGCGGCGCAGCACCAAGGGTTGCGATCCTGTTGCCGGTCCCAGTCCGGTACGGGCGGGACACTGAGGGTTGTGATCCGTTGCCAGACACGGAAAAAAAAAAAACAATTGGTTCTTAATCCTTATTCCTCATCTCTTGGCCTTTACTCCTTCAACTTTCTCTACTCCTCACCTCTCCTTCCTTCCTCATTTCTACCCCCTCCTCCCCTACGTCATCTGCTCAGAACCACACCTTTGAAACTGAAAACCACGCCTTTGAAACTGAAAATCTTTCCTACCACTAACACCTCTCCAGATCCACCCATAACTCCAGCTTCGACTTGTCCCCTGCCTCTGCTTTGGTTTTAATTCCCATGCTTCCCATGCCCACTCCACAATAATCTCTGATCAAACCCAGACTAGCCGGGTTCACCACACACATGTGGCAGAATATAGGTCCCTTCTGTGCAGTTCTCAAGTGAGCCAGTCGAAGGCATTACTATCACAAACAGTTCCTTATTCTCAAATGGACTATGATTCAAAAGGCTATTTGTAAGGTAGTTATTGGGCACTTAGAATCCATTTTCCCAAGGGAACGATGTTACAAATTGTGGTTGGATCCCAGACCCTGTTAATGCCTATTTAGCCCACTCACTAAAATTTATACTACAGCCTCTTATTTTAATAAAAAAAACAATTACGAACGTTACAATGGACTTAGCTGTTATGAAGGGCATAGGCAGTCGGTGCTGGGGGTTTCCTTCCCAGAAAGATAAGAAACATTCCAAAATCCTTAATTAGAATTTGTCTTTTAGGCATTAATATCAAACTATATATCTCCAGCTTTTCATTCATGTTCTACAATTTTACTTTCCTTCACAATTAAAAACACACATGATTTAACACCAAAAGTGAGTGACTGCAACTGATGACTCTCCCCTTAGCCACACGGAACAAAGGCTATCTTTTCCCCAGCTGCTGCCTACTGTGAACCTAGCATTTCTTAGTAAGGTCAGTGCTTGCCTTTGCATTTCCAGTTTTTAAGATAAAATTACATAAACACCGTAGACAGTGCCACCCTTGTGCGCCTGCTGATTTACAGAGAATCCTCAG